CGATATTACCCCCCCCCCCCTCTCTCTCTCTCTCTCTCTCTCTTTTCTCTCTGCTATTCTTCTTATCTGCTGTTTCTGAAACTGAAGGAAATTTTAAGGAGAATTACAGCAAGGGTCACACGATCACAACACATGTGGACGAGCAGCTCGAAGTTCTGAAGTGATTGTTTTAATCGATTTTGAAGATATATCAAGACAAAAGCTCGTAGGCACTGTATAGAGCTGAAGACGTCTTTTTTCTACGAGCTGCATTTTTCTAATTGATTCGATATGTATGAAAGGTAACTCAGGATATCGCGTATATATGTATAGAAAAATAATGGCGGAAATTGGATTGTCTTGATAGAAGAAATTATTAGTCCAACAATTGTAAGTACGATATGATGAATAATTATACCGCGTGTTGCGTTCAGGTCTGAAGACATTTTAATAGAGCCATTGTACTAAATTCCTCTGGCCTCGTTAGCGTGACTGCTGCATGTAGCGTGCTGCATGTTAGCTAATAGCGTGAGTAATATCGCTGCCTAGTTTCACCCATATCAGGTGGTTACACTTGAGATCCCCAAAAAGGTTAGCAGTTCAGGGCTTATTTAGCTTGCAAGCGGTGTTTCTATTGTTATGCGTACCGAGCTAGTATGTACACGTCCACTGAACAGCGTAAATTCTTACATGGTTCATAGTTTTCGTATACGCACACATCAATTATGTATACACAGGCAAATACAATTTCGCTATGATAAAATTGATGACACACTATAACATCAACGTACTATACTAGACGATGCGAAAGACAGGGGAACGTCGAGGAATCATGCCCATTCTGAGCATATTTATATATTCGCCAAGAGTATTAAGATGACGACCCCCGTCAGAAAAGCTGGCTGGCAGGCAGGCAGGCAGGCCGGCGAACGTAATGTTGGCACACAATACAAAACGTCAGACTATCTATTTTCCTCTCCGTCACGCGTTGTAACCGAAGTCACCGGAAAATTTATTAACTCGTAGGACTCTGTTGCTGCCACGTAACTGCTATGGAATATAATTGAGCGCGAGCTTGATGCGGTAGCACCAGCGGTCTAATTGTAATACTCAGTGTGGCAACATTGGTATTATGCTGCTAATCAGACTAAAGCAGTAGCGAAACAACCATATTAAGAGTTTGAACAAATTTACCTCCTTCGTACTACGTCAGATTGAACACAATGTTTCCGTTGTCGGGCCCTATACAAGCTTACCTAGACTGAGTTCGATAACAATATCTTGAATGACAAGTCGAAGTTTCCTCTAACTTAATAATAAGACAGTTAATACGTTACGTTTCTTCCCTAAAGTAACAAGAAGATCTGTTTCTTATTGGCTAGTGAGTATATAGAACCCGTTAGTAGCTTCTTTGGTTACCCTTTCAACGTTAATGGAGTTCCCAACGTTAGCACAGAGTAACGTTGTCCTCAGTCCTGCTCTCAGTGTGGACACAAGCTATATATATATATATATAGCGATTGGTCTAATCGTCAAAAAAGAAGTTCTTCGTCTACTTCGTTGAAATCCGATGGTCAAACACCAAATCGGAGCATACAATTCAATACAAAAATTTATGGCAACGATTCAATCTTTCATTTAATATATTATAAGATCATATATATAAGAAATGTTTGGGACATCACTTGAGTCATCCATGAGGCTACACGGATGGTTTTTTATTATAATTTATTAGTTGAATCCATATGATAAAATGAAGCCTGTGATATTCTTTAGGTTCCGGTTAGTTGGTAAGACCATCACATCATTTTATAAATCCTGGATCTGAACAGAAATTGGGACTGTCGTGGGTCTACCAGGGCACAACAGGGATGGGTCGGTCATTATACGCTACAGCTAGAACATGACTAAGGTGATGCTTAAAGATAAATCCTATTATATAGTTGCAATGAGGCTAGAGAAGAGGGTGTTTTTTTTTACGATTAAAGTACACCTCTGAAGTGCAATGCAAAGATTATCTTTAAGATAGCAGACCTTTGTTTCCTCTATAATATTTGATTAAATATTATACAGTATAGGTACAATTCGTTTAAAGATAGGATATTGTGCCAAGTACATGACACACTGCAGTGACTTTTACCATCGATATGTTGATAGAACATAAAGCTGCCGTATACATTTTTGGGGTACAGGGAAGTGTTGATATAGAGGAGGTAACTGATAGATGATATTAGAAAGGGCATCGCGTTCGTGACCTTTCGGCTCAGGGGTTGAAAGGAGCATCAGGTATAGTTTACAGTAGTTTTTAATGTTTGCAAGGATGGAGACAGGCTAAGTCGTGGCGATACAATGGCGATAATTGGCTAGCAAATATTAAGTTTACGTAAAACCTATTTCTTCCGTATTTGCGTAAGGCCACCTGAAAAGGGTGGCAATGCTGTCTGATAAATGCGCAATTGTGTAGAGCGTGTAATTAATGAAGATTCAAGTTATTTACACATATGATACTTGTTTGTTCTACTAGTCTGACTGAGTGTTCTTTCGTTAATCAGGTAGCTGCGTTAAACCTTCGAAACGGTAGGAAATGTTGTATATTGCAAATGATGGTATATATATATATATATCTCGTGCGCGCGAAATAGGTTAGACGATCATTCGTATTTGACGCGTAACTTATGCCGCATGGAAATTGTTGCAATTGCAGAAAAAAGTTAAGAGGGCACTTGTGTTGGAACTTCGTTTGAGACTGCAACGACTAATGCATAACAACGCAACAAAGCTCTTTCTACCCAGGAAGAATATAAAATAGAACTATAAGGCATGATCTATTTACTGATTAGAGAAATTATATTGACAGCATCACCAGTATTATTACAAGACCTGATCCCGTTAGTAATGGTTCGTTATTGTGAGGGCCCGTTTTTTTAAGGGCAAATTGTTTTTTTTTTATATTTGGTTGCATTTTGTCGAGTCTGATTCAAACTTTATTTGACATCTAACTTCTTCACTTCCCCTGTCAAAAGTAAAGTTGGCAACTTAGCTGAAGGGCTATATGCGTTTTAATATATATATATATAATATAAAAAAAATAATAAAATAAAAAATAAAAATAAATATATATTTAATAACCTTCTAATGACGTTAATAGGCCTTGACATGTTTAATGTTTTCTTTTTTAATGTTTATTTATATTTTCGCTGTTTCATTCCATAGGTTGTGAAAAATGTAAGCCAAAACGCTATGTATATATACATACACCCAGAACTAAAATTTGAACTTTATGCTAGAAAAAAAGAAATTGGTTCTACCTAGCATCCCTATTTATGCTTTAAAAGTGTATTTTAAGCTACGTTTTGCATTTGAAATATATTATATATGCAATCTACTAAACTGTAGTGGTTGAGGCGAACGATACTTTTTTTTACATTTCTTTGACGGAATACCACAGAAAAATAGTTAGTAAATTCGAAAAATTTTAGGTAAAATAGTAATAATATATGATAAAAAATGGGCTTTTGATTTAGGAACGGCAGAAAGCTATTGTTGCATTATTTTTAATCATTATAATTGAATAGCCATTTACGTGTATCAAAATAATGAAATTTGTACGATTTGGGTGTTTTATTTTTTTTTTTGAATAAACCTATTATAGCCCACATTATTGTGTTCGCTATTTTCCCACCCAAAAGATTTTCTGAGCAACATATTGAATAGGTTTATTTTTATCAAAGCCAGATACTATTCAGAGTTGTTCGTGTTGTCAATCGACAGCCTCGACAGACGGAGTCAAAATGGCATCATGTTGCCATGCGCAAACTGTTTATTAAGCATCAAAGGGGCAAACGGCTTATTAAGGGATCTGTTCTGCCCGGTCTTATAGTGGCGATAAAAACACTTTTCGAAATTAACTTTCACTACTTTTTCTGAAAAAAAAATTCTAATAAATGTCAATCTAAAATTTGTAGTATTTGATGGTGGTAAAATTTTTCCGAGCTACGATCCATAAACGAACTTGTTTCCACACAAAATAAAGCATTCTTAACGGCTTTTCTCGATGCCGGCCAATAAATTTCAACGAGTTTATTAAAAGTATACAATAAAAATGAATATTTCAGCGTAAACAAACCAGCAGAAATCAAATTTGACACTTTTCTCCTTTTGAATGAAGATTTTTTCTACAAATCTATGTAAAAGGGATCGTTCTTGGTAGCGATCAAAAATATTCAAGACGCTGTATTGTAACACTCATTGCAATGTCTAAATTTTGTTGAGTTCAAAATGCTGTTTAAAGGGTAAAAGTTAATTATGGTATTCTACTTAAGTCTGCCGATCAGTAGATCTTGACAAGCTGTGCAGAATGCAATGTATGCCCCTGTGCGCACTGTTTCGAGAGAAAAAGGGCAAATATTGATTATTTCTTCAAATATTATTATTGAGTGCTTTCTCGAGCGAAAGCTTCGTTTGCTATATCTCAGGAACATGTTTAATAGGCCGTACCGCACTTGTCATCCCTTATGTGGTAGCAAGGTTTTTTGGGTGTTTTTTTGATTACTGCTTTTCTCTGAATGTTTCAAAAAAGGGTCAATAAGCCAACCAGTTCTACCAACCCCAACAACGATTAAGAATCGTCGGCGGGCGACGGTCTACTCTATTGTCGTGCGTCGTTGTGACGTCAGTCAACGCTTTTCACGTACATCACTGAGACGTTGGTGCCATGTCGGTCCGATTTACGAGGGCTAACTAGCAGTACTGACGAACGAAACAGCATCAAGGGTTATACCATGAGATAGCTAGTTTGACGTTTAAAAATAATACTGCTGTTCCTACGAAAATGCTACAAACCCTGCTAAAGCCAACAAAGTTTACTCCTGGTGACGAATAGGTATCTAATCTGCAGGGTTGCAAGTTTATAACATAAGCCTGTTGAACCGTCTTTTAGCACATCAGCGGCTATGCAAATGTTTGCCTGATTATCGCATGATATAGAAGCAACTAAAATTGTTTAATTGCTTTTATATTAGGCCTTGCACCAAACTGATGGCTGAATGTAGCGCAGGCCAAACGCTAGACGACTGCGAAAAGCAGCGATGTGACCACGCCAGTACCGGCAATAACTCGGACAGATCATTAAGGGCTCGACTCATAGCATTGTAATATATCACCCGATTAGGCTGACTGCTTCATTTGAAAGGAAACAAAGCGAGCGTGATCATTACGGCATGTTTACGAATCTTCATAGCGATGGGAACTTCACCTGTACGATCTAGGCCAGGCCTCGACTAAGTGAGCTTTAAATCGATCGAAATTGCAAGCGTAACTAGTAACGTTCCAGCGGATTCTACTAGTGGCGGAACTAACGGCCGCTCCTGCAGACTATTAAACGGCATTTCATTCGAAAACGCAACGTCGCTCCATCAGAAGCTAATCTATAGTTGGTTATTGTGATATTATCCTTGCTTCAAAATGTGCGCGCCACTGGTTTTCGTAGCGGTGGCCGTCAAAGTTCTGGCTCTCGCTGCAGGTGCAATGGATGAAGAAGGAGGTAAGCTCATTCATGAAATAAACGAAAAGATCGGGAACCTCTTAATCCCGCCTAATCGCCACGTTTCGAAAAAAATCATACTTAATATGCATAAAAAACGTTGTGCTTCTTTTGCACGACGCTCGCGTTATTCAACAAACACTCGCGTTAACTTCATTACAACAGTTTGGAATATATTTACGTGAAAATGTCATCGAAATTTATGACGCCCGACAAGCTGCAAAGAAGCGTTCAGAAGGTCTCACGCTAATGTTTTTCGAATGTTTCTGCCACTCCTGTCTGATACATGAATGAAATACGCATACGGCTCTAGTGGGCCTAGTGTTCAGGCGCAGTGGATTTTCGCAAGAGGCGCTATCATAGGTAAATAATATATTGAATTTTCTAGTGATCCAGTGGTTTCTTGACCTTGGGACCTCACTCGGAATATCACAAGATGGTACAACAAAGGTTAGTAGGAGCTCGTTTACATACTAATTAATAATAATTAATCTAAATAGTGAGTTTTGAAAATGATTACATTGTTGTTATTATCATGATAAGTAAACTATTTGATTTAATTGTTAAATCACCTACAAGTGTAATATGCTCATTAAAAAATGCTGTTTCCTCACCTATTGCAGCTTATCGAAGTCTTACGTAAATATGTAAGTACGCCCTAGGAGAGTTGACTCTTCTGATGTTGCTATTTTTATAGTAGAAATAGAAATAGTACTTCGTCGAAAGAAATGAGCAGATGTTATCATCGCTGAGTACCAACTCGGCATTGCCAAAACAAAACGTTTAAAGGATCTAAGTAAGCGAATAGTTCTACCGTTCTAGTTCGTGGCTAAAGTACATTTTGCCTCGCTATTTTTGCGAACTTGAAAACAGGAGCCTGATAATAAGACAAAACTGCCAACTGTTGAGGAACTTGATGAGATGGTGTCGAAGTTGAAACCTGACATAATGGTAAGTAAAAAATGCTCTCTTCCGTATTTTGTGAAGTATCCGAAAACTCTCCTACTACATACTAGCTATTCAATGATAACCCATTACGTCAACAACTGTAACAGATAAATCTTCTACGCTGCAAAGGATGGGTGATGTGCGCAAGGCTATGTTACGCAGTTCATAGAAATAGTTCCATATTTCCAAATGATATCATGTCCCGTTTCAAACATCTGTCCTGGAGATAATTCCTTCCTCTTCGATAACATTGATTGTATTTACTTATATTGCAGCAAGCGGTCATGTGCGATGATGATCTTGCAAAGGTGGAGACCATGATCACTAAGCTACATGAAGCCGCTAGCATCTATCTGAAGAGCCAGCAAGGCTAAAATTTAAAGTTTTTTCAGTCCTTCGCTATTCTAACACAACACTATGTACCAAAGAGTGACAGTGACCACTTATAAACATTTGAAATAATTCACAACGATAAATATGTACAGGGATGTTTTTTCCTTGTTTGTTTTAAATACGCTTGACCTTACAGTGTGGGATAGGTAAGAAAAATATAGGCTTGTATACTGAGTTCTGAAAAGAGCACATAGAGCTGAAGCACTTTCAGAGACTCTGATATCACAGTCTTAAATAAAAGCTTGGCTTAAAAAAAGTCAGTTGTGTAGGGGACTCTCTACAATCACCACTGTTTCTATAATTTGGACCTTCAAAATAGTACTCTGCCATGAGGCGGATGATATTTTAATATATTTAATCGTAGACTTGATATTTTATCACTTTGCCAGTAATTATTGTTGTCGAACTAAAAAGCTCTTTCAGTTTTCCCCTTGCACTGATGAGGACATCTCCTTAAGGTATCACACTAAAGCGGTCTATGCCTTACAAGCAACTTTATATCGATCGGTCTATATAGAATTTTTTAAGTTCAGTTTTATTAGTTTTTTTTTTATTAAGATCCGACGATAGATAATCAAATACCTCAAAGTAAACCGGCAGAACCTCGACTGGTCTCGTTAGCAATCAGTGAAATTGAGCAGAACCCCAGAACGAGTTCCAGGTCAGCGAACAAAAGGAAATCCAATAATATATCTGTGGAGATCTCTAAGTCGGTGCTGATGGAGCTCCCCAGAAGTACATAGGCTGTTTTTTCGGTACCCATCTTCGTTGAGCAGGACTTTACGAAGAATTTAAACCACGATGGTCCTTGTCTTGCTATCGACGGCTTCCTGCTCAGATATAGGTTTCGACAAGAGCCGCGCTCTAAGAAAGGGAGAGCCATTTTTTGCTCTTGATCCGACAAAGGCACCGTGCTTCCCACGTGAACAGACGACTGGAAAAAGCTCTTTTGAAGCAGACACGTACAATGAAACACATTCGGGGACACCATAGCCTTGTTTTCTCCGTTAGGAGTGTCAATGGTCTGAGCGGAGATGAGAGAATTATTGAAAATGCAAGCCTACGCGTCGTACATTGCGAGTTTAACGTAACTGAATAGAAGAACTTCTCCTATAAGGCAACCTTGCTGTTATTGTAGTTTGAACTGGATACACGGGCTTTCCTTGGCCCTGGGTTTAAATTCGTTCATAGGGATCGTCGGAACATTCCCGTGATAGTTTAGTGGATATTTACCCACTAATATTAGGGACACGTTGTGGTATAGGTTCGAACCCGGGCATAGACGCACCTCATGTCGTGCTGGGAACCAGCCGTCTGGTGAAAAGCCAAAAGGTGATACTGGACGTGATATTCAAAACAAAGAAGCATCATCGGAATACAGATAATAATTTAGTAAAATGTACAGCGACGGCGGCCTCTGCGAAGGCAGTCACTTTCAGAGTCTCCACTAACTACGTATCTTACAGAGCAACTAGGTCGAGTTAAACCCTAGTCGTGGTCGCAGCGACATATTACATAACATCGCTTTGCTACGATTGCACCGCTGCTGATTCATTTGAAGAATGCGCCGATACTTCCCTTAGGGATCTCTACGAGTTGAAACAACAGGGCCGTCATAGTATACATGGTGGCTGTAGACGTACCCTCTGCGAGAAAGTGTCCAGCGTTTTTTTGGTACATACATAAATAGGGATAATAAATAGAACGCTTCGGCGATTAAAGAAAAGCATTTTAGACCTTTGGAAGAAGCAAACCGGGGAGCAGACAGGATCCCGCTAGACGTTTGTAGTCACGAATGACGACAATCCTTTGCTTTCCTTTCCTGTTTTTATTATTGGAGGGAGCTTAGAGGAGCGGACGAGGGTCGTTGTTTCTGAAAGATTTGGTCACTGTTTAGTTAAGTCTAGGACGGAGCAGGCGAGGCAAATCGTCGAAGACAAGGCCAAACGTTCCACTTGACGGCAGCCGCTACTTTGCCTATATCAGGGCAGGCAGATTCAATCCGACTGAAAGTACTTAACATACCGCTGGCGCTGGTGGGGTGGTAGTATTAGATAAACGATTTTTGCGTCGAGCGGAATTGCCGCAACAACAGAGGTAGTAACGTTGAGTTTATGGGTCCACAACTCATAGTATTACCACGGCAATGCTCAGATATGGCATTACCGAAAATGTGCGAATGTTACCGCCGATGATTTGGGGAGCAATCTTTTTGCAATGAACTTACGTCTAGTTTCATTAAAATTTGTTTCGCTTTCGTTTTCGGTACAGAATAGAGGAACACACATAAGACAAGGATAGAATAAACATACGCACGTAGGAAACATGCGAACGCGTGCTAACTCGGCATTCATTCAATAACATTGATATTCGGTTAGATAATGTACGTATCTGCCAAAGTCGTGCGAATTAATAAAAAATGGAAATTGATATTTAAAACTGAATTAAATTAATCGATAGTTTCACTAATAAAATCCAAGGAACATTTAGCATAATAAACTAGATTTAAATGGTCTGATTTTCATTTTCAAATTGACCGCGTTTGCTAATCACAGTTACAGACAAATTAGTAAATTGCTATTTATTAACGGCTTAGAATATTTTCACACATCATTATATTAACTGCGTATGAAACGTTCCATTACGTACCTTAAAGCGGTGTTGTCTGTTTACAATTATTTGCTCGGTCGAAGTGGCACTACGTATTGTTTTTGTCAGCATCTAGTTCAGGTCAGGTCCAAGCTCGCATGGAAAATGAGAAGGCCTTGGCCTCAAGAGTAGGCCTCGGTTCAAGGATAATCTGAGAATAGAGCTGAGCAGCCGACACGGAACAGAGAGATGATCAAATTGATGAGGCCCGAATTCGCATTTCTAACACTGCCTAGCAAAGAGGATAGAGTTCGTGTGGGTATGACCATAAGAAACCAAGAGCTGAATTCCTAAACTTCATGCGTGTCTTGGGAGAAAGAGCGTCAACACGTTTACATGAACTGGCCGTACTGCCTGTTCACCAAATCATTTTTTAGCGGAATTTTTCCCTGTAGAAAGAAAAGTCACCTTTTTTACCCACGTGGGTCGATAGTACTACACAAGCCTCGTGCCAAAACTGGCCCTAATTCATTGTAAGAAAGAAATTAGATTGGGTAGAACGTTATCTGTCTACATATCGAAACCCAACTATACTTAGGATAATTATTGAAGTACAGTCGTAACGCTTCAGTGGTTACAGTGATTTGACGCATGTTAAAGACTCCTTGAATGAAACAGGCCTATTCACAAAAACTCACATGATCATATCGAGCACCATGCGTTTTACAGTAATAGCAGTAATGTAGGTGCTTTTTTACTGAATAGGAAACGACATATTCTTATTTCTATGACAACAAGTTTTGTGCATTCCCCATCATCGTACACGACTTTTTTCTTTTTGCAAACTAATGTATGCCGTTTAAGGGCAGCAGGATTTATCCTGAAGAAATCTTCCAAAAACGTTTTAGGTCGTTGATCCGTGTTAAAAATGAAATCACGAAGCTGGTTGCCCAGTGAAGGAAGAAAGTGCAAATTTGTCAACACAGGGCTTGGATAACATGGGAGACGCAACAAATCTTTCCATTCGAATTCTAAGGAGGTCACTTTGACTACATTTGCTATGCATGGCCTCGCGTTGTTATAAAGCTGGACGACCTAGCCGGTCCTTTCTTTTGAATAGCCTTGAATAAATTGACTTGACGCATTTGGCCAACGGGTGTAACGTATGGATCAACTGTCTGGTTTATACGAAGCAACTCCCAGTAACTCAGACCCTCGCAGTTGCACCCATCACAGCGCATGACCTTTTTTAGATGAAAATCCAGTTAGGTTGAGGACCTTAGTCATCCCGCTGAAACCATCCATTCCAGTCTCTGACTCACCACTTTTCATTACCAGTGGTAAAAATCTGTACAAAAATCGGTGGATGTAGCCAGCCATATAGCGCCCCATACTGGGTGGGATGCTGAAATGCAGCGTTAAGCGGCGATTCGTAGTTATATTTAGTAAGTTCATAGGGCTGCCCAGATTCCAAGTTTTTGCGTTAAAGGCAGTTAGTGACAGCCGTGCGGTTGCAGTCTATCTTTTCAGTTAATTTCCAAATTTCTGTTGTACTTCTATTGTTTTTTCAAAAGTGCCTATAGATGGTCGTCATCAAGCTCTGACGGTCAACGAGAGCGAAGGCATCCTCTAAATTACGGACACCCTTCTTAAACTCGGCGAGCCACTTTTAGGGAGCAGTTTTAGTGACAGCGTCGTTACCGTGCATAAGGCAAATGTTACGCGCTGTTTCAGCAGTGTTTTAGTTTTGATAAAGTGTATTATGTAGAAAGCGTTAAAAATGCACATTTTTTTTTATTTGGAACGTGCATCCTCGAAAAGTCCTTTTGATCTGAAGCTACATTCACAATACAATTGCATTATAGCATTTAGCTAAAATAAGGAAAGCGTCTTAGGTTGTATGTCAAAAGTGAGAGAGTAACTAAACAACAAATGAAAGAACGTGGAAAAGGTTTTTAGGCGTAGGAATTTTTTTTTCAGCCCAATAAAGCTCGGGGCGGTTTCGAAACTAGAAGAGAATCAATCATATAATAAAAATATACATTCACTGCAGATCATTTTGCGGTACAGATAACACATAGGTATACGTGAAGACAACCCTGACGTTGATTAGAATCTTGTGACGTTTTGAAGCGTCGTCAACAAATTTATATTAAAAAAAAATTGCTTTGACGATATTTTTTGCGTAAATCTCTGGCTTCGTTCTTTGGTGACCTAGTAGGAATCACTGAAGTCGTGACGACAAACAGAAGACATAGCTCAAAGTGTGGCGCTACACCTCTCCAAGATCTGTTTTATAATTTCTTGTGCTTTATAACATAATGCATTAGGGAACAACTGAAAAGCTTACAATTATAAATCGTTAACGTAGAAATCAAATAGAAACGATTTACATCAGACGCGATTATTATTCAGCCTAGCACAATAGCATTGTAAAGCTTATTCAGCAGCTGCTGTCATTGTCGCCTGTGACTGGACCCCCGAAAATGCCGTTGTGAACAGCTGCGTTAATCGTACAAGTTACACCCAATGATACGATTTGTATCCATATGGGTTCGTTGCGACCAGACGGTATCCCGCCTCTGAAGGGTGGTGATATTGATGTTGTTTCTGTTGTTATTGCACGAGCACTTGTGGCTGTGGTCCACCTTTTGCGGT